CTCAAGAGTGTCTCACAAGAGTGTCCCTTAAGAGTGTCCAACAAGAGTGTCCCGCAAGAGTGTCCTACAAGAGTGTCTCACAAGAGTGTCCCATAAGAGTGTCCCACAAGAGTGTCCCACAAGAGTGTCCCACAAGAGTGTCCTACAAGAGTGCCCCACAAGAGTGTCCCACAAGAGTGTCCCACAAGAGTGTCCTACAAGTGTGTCCCATAAGAGTGTCCTACAAGAGTGTCCCACAAGAGTGTCCCACAAGAGTGTCCTATAGTGTCCCACAAGCGTGTCCTACAAGAGTGTCCCACAAGAGTTTCCTACAAGAGTGACCCACAAGAGTGTCCTACAAGAGTGTCCTTCAAGAGTGTCCCAGAAGAGTGTCCCAGAAGAGTGTCCTACAAGAGTGTCCTACAAGAGTGTCCCACAAGAGTGTCCTACAAGTGTGTCCCACAAGAGTGTCCCACAAGAGTGTCCCACAAGAGTGTCCTACAAGAGTGTCCCACAAGAGTGTCCTACAAGAGTGACCCACAAGAGTGTCCTACAAGAGTGTCCTACAAGAGTGTCCCACAAGAGTGTCCTATAAGAGTGTCCCACAAGAGTGTCCCACAAGAGTGTCCCTTAAGAGTGTCCCTTAAGAGTGTCCCACAAGAGTCTCCGACAAGAGTGTCCTACAAGAGTGTCCCACAACATTGCCCCACAATGAGTGTCCCACAAGAGTGTCCTACAAGAGTGTCCCACAAGAGTGTCCCACAAGAGTGTCTCACAAGAGTGTCCCACAAGAGTGTCCTACAAGTGTGTCCCGTAAGAGTGTCCCACAAGAGTGTCCCTTAAGAGTGTCCGACAAGAGTATCCCACAAGAGTGTCCCACAAGAGTGTCCTACAAGAGTGTCCCACAAGAGTTTCCTACAAGAGTGTCCCACAGGAGTTTCCTACAAGAGTGACCCACAAGAGTGTCCTACAAGAGTGTCCCACAAGAGTTTCCTACAAGAGTGACCCACAAGAGTGTCCTACAAGAGTGTCCTACAAGAGTGTCCCAGAAGAGTGTCCTACAAGAGTGTCCCAGAAGAGTGTCCCACAAGAGTGTCCTACAAGAGTGTCATTTGGTCATATGTAGTTTTTCGAACGTGTTCCATTCGGGTTCGTGGGTTCCATCTTGTTCTATATTCTATACGGGTGAGGTCTTCGGGAATCAACCCTGATGTCCCCACTTGCTCAGATTCAGAATCGATCGTGTTACATCACTGGAGTTTAGCCGTTTTGCCAAGTGGGGTTATTCCTTCTGCAGCGTTTTGCGAAGCTTCCTGCAGGCCCTGCCTGCAAAATGGGATCTCGGTCCAGTGCTAAAACAAAGTCCGTCATCGCCTTGGCCGTGCGCAGTGAGCGGTGGTACTGCGTCGGCTCCCCATGAGTGAACCTGAGCGTTCGGGCGGCGTTTGCGCCGTCCGCAGAGTTTCCGCAAAATCCGAGGCATCGAACGACAAGGGAGAGCATGACCAGGCTCAATCCAGCCTACCTCTGAACACCATATGCATCCATATACTATACGATGCTATACGTCGCCTCATGGCACATGTCAAGTCAAGCCGCCACAAGAGCTGTGGATAGTGGCCACTTGGAACATATCTTTGCGCCAAGTCTTTTTCCGCTATGGCATCCACTGTCGCGAAGGCCACCTTGCTACCGTAGTCTCGGACCTCCACAGGTGCAAGAGGAGCCAAAGCAACTCTTTAAACAAGAGATCGCTTTCTAACACCATCGAGGAATCAAATAACAGTGAACAAACGATCGCCTTCCGAAGCTAGCAACTACCTCATCTTGAGGCGCTGCTGGCACACGTTCATATGCTGAGAACTGTGATGAAGCGCAATAGACTTCAACAGTGGTCTAGTGGGTCGAAAGTGCTAAGAGATGGTCTAAGTGTTGACCGGGGACCTCACAAAATCCCGAACCTGATCACCCAGAAATCACTGCAAACTACTCTCACAACACATTACACATCACATCTACATAAACAAAACTCATAATATCTCACCATTACTGACCAAAGTAATGCGAGCCTCTCTGAGTGCGCGCTCAAGCTCGCCCTTTTGCTCAGCCCATCCATCAAGATTCCTGAAAAAGATCAGAAAAGCTTTGGCTGCGGCGTTCAACAAGTGCTATGTGCGTCTGTGAGAATGTGACGCAGGTCCTGTCGTAGAAATCCACCAAGACCTTGTCAGCACCCTTTATGAAGCCCTCGAAGGTGCTGCTGGTGAGTGCTGCGCTGGTCATTCCCACACGCGCTGCCACCAACCGTACTCCGGTGAGTAGCAAAAGCCACCATGCCTGAGGTCGACTTCTTTTTTGTTACTAGTGATAGCGATGCCCAAGCCTGAGAGCGACTTGCCGCCTTTGGAGGTCATTCCATATTCCTACTTACGCAGGTCCACCAACAGCCAGTTTTGAGCTCGATCGGTGACGAGGGTCAATGACTTGAGGAGGGGTGAACGAAAGGACGGGAGGACACGTGGAAGAGGGAAACGGCTCTTGGACAACCAAGTCTCCAAACTCCTAAGTGTACCTGAGTCATCTTTGGGTTGATCTACAGTCTACGCGGGGGTGAGCGAGTTCATTTGATATGTGGAGTGCTCGCATGTGCTCATGAAGGGAGATGAAACAAACCTGATCATGATGCCCCACAGTGGGAGTTGAAAACCGCAGGGGGGCAACGAATAGAATCACTACTTACGCTACTTAAATCCAAAAATCAAGGACTTTCAACGACGCAACCCCCCCTTGCTTGAGCACGATAGAACTCAGGTAGCTATGTAATGCTACCTTTCGTGATCAAATGTGCTTTCCTTTGTAGTTCCCTCTCATCTCTTGGGGCAAATGAGATCAAATCTTGAAACCAAGAAACCCTACAGCTTGCCATGTGCAAGCACGAAGTGGGCCCAATTGCACTGAATTTACCTCGGAAAGGGATCATAAGTTGAAAACAAAAGCTCTTGAAGTCTTGAAGGAACATTTGCAAGCATCCACTGTGAATGTCACTGAGAAAAAACACTCCTTATAAACAGCCACCTCAATCAAGTTCGCGGTCGAGAATCAACTGCGTAACCCTAAGCACTACAGGGGCCTCGCCCTACTCGAGCCAAAATGGTGCCAACGCGGATCAGACACAACTAACTCACAAGCCGTGAACAGCACACACACCGTTTGGAATCTGGCTGTGCATACAAGGATGCTGGAAGGACTCTGATCTATGAATATATTATATGTGCCTTCACGTTGCACGGCCCTGGGAGCAAACATGTCAAGAGTGGAATGTATCACGTTGATAGCATATTGCCACAGGATGGTTCGATTACAATACCACAAACAACAGCCGTGAAACAGAACAACTCGCACTAAGACCACACTTGCCGTTTTAAAGAAAAACTGGCATCGACCAAAGCCGTAATGCTTGTGAATGGTTTGCGAATCCACTTTCCAAATTTTTCACGAATGGCCTGGTGTTCCAACAGTGGCCATGGCCTGCCACAAAATGTGCCTCAATTAACAAGTATGACTAAGTATGACACTTCTCAAGCGGGTTTAATGTAGGGCCTTGATTTATCTCACTCTTGGGCTCTTTCTCTTTCTCTGTTTCTGTTATTCCACGTTCATAGGTGAAGGCATATCTTTATAGCACAAATCAATGAGCTCTCTCTCGTTTTTTTGTCTCTCTCTCTCTCTCTCTCCCTCCAAGTTCTCAAGAAAACACAAATTAGGCCACTCGTCACACTCGCAGCTGCACGGTTGTCCCTTATGCTCTTGCCACCCTGATTAAAGTCCACCAGTCATTCTGGTTCATTTGTACTCAAATAAGACGAGGTCTGCTGTCCAGTCTCTTCCGGTTTCGGCCTTTCGGGAGCAAACATCCATCCAAAATGCGGGGACAGCTGCACAAAAATCCCTCAGATGCTGATTGGGGAAGGGCACTTCAAACCGGACAAACGCAACAAAAGAACTAACGACACACACAAACAAACCTCAAACATGGAGTCTGCCATGCCCTCTAAGCCGAAAGTGTAACGCAAGTGTCGAGTCACGAAGCCGAAATCGCAACGCGAATGTCGATTTACGCGAGTAGCAACACGAACGAAACTGTCCCCAGCCCCCCCCCCCCCCCCCCCGAAAACCATGTTGCGTATGTTGCGTCGTCGGGAAGGTTTGCTCTTGGGCAACCCCCCCGTTGTCCCTGCATGTTGCATATGCATTTGATTCAATTGCGCGGTCAATGGTTCAGAGCGGGAGTCAGCCACGTGGCTGCTAGGTTCCTGAGGTTCGGTTCGTTCTTGCAATGGAGACTTTCATTGGTGCAAATTCGTCTTCCAACTGATCCTCATGGCTTAGTTTGCAAAAGATCAGAATGCAGGCTGCACTTGATGCGAAGACATAGTTATTTGTGTATGGCACCATCCCCTCCACAAAAATAATCAAAAATATTAGTATTCAACCGTTCTGTCCGATATGTGCAATGTCTTGAGCCACTCCGGTGGATCCATGTTATGAGTACGAAACAAGTGAACATTTGCACACCTATAATATCTATAATAGATATATATGAACCTACGCTTATGTCGCAAAAGCTTCCCTCGCTACAAAAAACATCAAACACATATTGTAAATATGGCATAGTGGCATAGTATGGCACCACCCACTCCTCCCAAACAAATCAATGTCTTGAGGCAGTCCCAGAGATCCAAGTACCTACGTGTTTTTACACGCAAACAGATGTAATATACATATACTATATATTATAACTATTGTACACTTAAAAACGTATTTGTTATTGTATATTGTTCACAACCCCCTCTAGACCTCGCAAACTATGAACGCCTGCTTTGGCGCAGCGCGGCCCCCCTCAAACACACACGCACACCCTAAATTCTCAATTCGTTCGCGCAAAAAAACTTCAAAAAGCTTTCGCCTAGCCTGCCGGATGGCTCGCAAACAATGGGAAACACTCCTTGAGCCCAAGCAGCTGTTGAGAATGTCATTGACCTCCTGCGGCAGAACCATGTGCAACTGCAACGCCGGTGGCACAAGGCTCGCTAGACATGAAAAACGTAAGTTCTAACTCGAAGGGCGTTCTCTCTCTCTCTCTCTCTCTCTCTGGGCCTGAAACCTTCGCAGGGCCCCCCAAGCCTTAAGTAGGGAAGGGGGGCGTAAAAAAACACCAACCCTTGGCATGACATAATGTTGCCCCTGGCATGACATGTCGTCATCCCTCGCGTGACGCAGCCCCTACAAAACCAAAACGCCGATCCACAGGCAGCACGCAGCACCTGCACCTGCAGCGCCCGCAAAACCAAAACGCCGATCTACAGCCAGCACCTGCACCTGCACCAGCATCAGCACGGCAGCAGCACCCACAAAACCATAGTGCCGATCCAAAGCCAGCACCTGCACTAGCATGGCAGCAGCACATGCCCATGCAGAACCAAAACGCCGATCCAGAGCCAGCACCTGCACCTGCACGGCAGGAGCACCGGCAAAACCAAAACGCCGATCCAGAGCTACACCATTGAGAGGTTGGAACCCCTATAGCCTGCAGCTATCTGGGGAAAGGACAACAAATATTGTACTCCAGGCCTGCCGCAGCTCCCTCAGCTGGAGTTCGTTGGCACGCTGCTCGGCGCCGCGAAAGAGTTGTGTGGCGGAGTGCTCGGCTGAACACGCCTGGCTGACACAGAGCATTTCTGACATATTAATGGCATGAACGGTAAGCAGTGCATAGAGTCATAGACTCATAGAGCATTGCTGTGGTACAGCTGCAGCGTTTTCAATCACGCCCTTCAGATTTGCACATCATCTGGCGCCATGTGGCAACCACCAAACTCTGAACACACATTTGGCCTCATGTTCACATCCAGGGCGCTCTTCTTTCCTCAGCTTTACCCGTGTGTTGCTGTGGTGATGGCTGCCACACCCTGGCTCACCTCCGAGCCTGGTTCCTCTCCAGACTGCGGAGCACTGACCCGGGTTCCTTCCCAAGTGCAGTGTTGGAGTTGTGTCCCGCCTGTCCACCTACTGTTGCACCTGGGGACTTGACCGTGGTGGTGTCATCCGAGTCCGGAGTATGTCCTCTTTAGATTGGTCTTTCTGCTTTGCCATGGGCTGCAGTCAAGCGACCAGCCGGAAATTGCATCGCGCATGGCTTGCCAGTCTTTGGAACCCTCAGCATCCTGGATAGCATCTATGAGGTCCTGCGAGGGATAATTGAAAGTCTTTCAACTTCCTGACCGAAGCTAACTCCGCAAATGCAAATGTCAAGGGGGTCCCACAAAGCCCCCTGTCTGCGCACCACCTCATCCAAACCTTCGCTGCAACGTTAGTACAGTTAGAACGCAGTGAGCTCAACTTGTGAATGGAAGGTAACATCCATCCGAGAAAGCAAGCAAGTGGCATACACGACTCTTCTGGATCTTCCACACCATCACGTCTGCTCTATCCACAAGCTTCTTGTCCATGGCATCCTGCAAGTTTGCCGAAACATCAAATCAGTCATGATCGGCCATGCCCCGGACAAGTTGCACGAAGGACTCTCAATTTAATGAGCTTCGAGGGCAAGTGGTTTGAACCCTCCGTCCTGGGCGTCCTTCCAGCGCTGCCGTACTGCAGCAGCCTCAGCACGAGCCTTGGCCACCAAGTTCCCATCGACCTTCCGCGGGATAGTGAGTTGCAGTGGCGCTATCTTCCAACATGCAGTGAAGTGAGTGCAAAAAATGATTCAACCAACTGAATCTCATTCGTATCACGGTGTCAGTCAAGCTTGCTGTTGAGGTGTGGTTGGCCCACTTGGAGGCCATGGGGAAACTCTCTTCGGTCTTCTTGCAAGTAGACACACCTACAACTACACAAAACCTCAGCACCCTTTCTGCGACTGTTCCCACACCGCCTGGCGAGTTTCTGCAGCATCTGCAGCCTCTTCCAGCCTCGTCCAGCAAGAGATTCTCTGTATAGCTTGGACTGCAAGTAGTCATCACTACGTACCGCAGGTTGCCATAAGCATCCTAACTATTCAAGCTCACTCTACTTCTTAGTACCGCCCTCTTTGTCAAACTGCCCCGAGCCCCCTTCACATGCGACAGAAGTGACAAAAGAAGTCTCAAAATGTCTCAAGTACGTCTTATTCATATTCTGAGCTCAGGGCTGGGTCAGAGAAACCTGCTCAGCTTGTAGCACTGCCTCCTGGAAATTATTATGGTGGATCTTGACAGTCAAACAAAGACAAACTGGACAACACATAATTGCAAAATTACATTCTGCAAACATGTACTGCAGAACGGGAAAATGCAAACCAAGCACAAGCTGCGAAGCCCTCTCCAGGCGCCGTGTGTAGAGCTGCCGTTTAAGCTGCACTGCTGCACCGCTCACAGCATGTAGGACCTCTGCTCTTTGCATTTCGTGCCATCACTGCCAAAGAGTGAATATCAATTACATCAACACGTCATCAAAAACTCGCAACACGCAACACCTTCTGCGGTAGTGTGTATTCCACCCACCCTAGTGAACCCACAGCATCTTTGAACTGGACGAGGAACACTCCATTGCTTCTCACGCTTGAGTGCAGATGTCCACCGCTCCCATAGATCCTCCTTTTGACTTGTACCGCTTTGTAGAGGACTGTACAAGAAGCCGGTCACACGGAGCAAGTGCAAAGAACATCTTGTGCTGGCATTCAGTCACTGGACATGGTCCCGAATATTGTGGAACACCATGACAAACAACAAATGACAGTCCTGGATATTGGCATCTTGCAGCCTGGTCAGGACTGAAGCAATCGAGGCTAAAGAAGTCAGTGCTTCATACCGTCTGGTCGGTCGGCACCCACACAAGTGGAGATAAACACTCAGAGCCTCTCAACTGCCTTCTGCAGCGCATCCCACCGCTGCCCCTGCAAGAAATGCGTGCTCACTATGACTCTCGTGCATCATTGGTCTGCAAAGGACTCAGGCACCTCAAAGCGCCTCTCAGCCTCCTCCACTTGTTTTTTCAAGCTATCGCGAACCTGAGCCAATCAAGAACCTATGGGATGTCACATCAGTCAGAAGTCTAACGGCCAAAGAGCTGAGCATGATGATATCAGCTGCAAGATCTGACTGTCTGACTGTGCATGTGTGGTCTGTCCAAGTTTGCCCCTGTATTGAGGTGAACACCTTTTCAGCTTTCAGTATTGCCTGATATTCAGGACCTGCCAGCAACGTCAACAACAAGACTGGCTTATTGGCGCATGTCCCAGCATTGCCTGAGGCAGTTCGGCCGGATGAAGCATCATCACCATCATCATCTATCTGCCATGCTCCTGACCACAGCAAAGAGGTCAGCCGTACCCTTCCCTCAGTTGCAGCTCAGCTGAGACAAAAGGTTGGGACCTGCCTAAGATTGCTTGCAACTCGACCTTGGATGAGACCCCGCCAATCACGTGTGTTGTGGCTTCTGGGAGTGTCAAGTGAAGCCTAAGCGATTCATTGTGAAACAAGACCTGTCAATTGGACGGCTTCCGGTTCTTGATGATTTTGGGCCCTGGCCAGGTCCCGCTGCTCTGCAGCACGGCTGCTTTGCTGCGCCAAAGCGCTGAGCAAACCTTGGGCTTCGTTCAAAACATCCTCCTGGAGTTGCGGGGTTTTGAGAGAGTCACGGAGACAGTCTCGGCTTCGGTGCCCTTGCTCTCGCTTGCTGAAGATGAAGAAACACAAGCACCCCAAACATCGACAAGTCTCTTCAAGTCGTTTGGGGGGTCCCACAAGTCCTGGATATCAAGCTCTTCTGCATCCTCAGTGGCCCGGAGGAGGAAAACAACGTCTAGCTGTGTTGTTAAGAAATTAGTTGAATCATGTTGAACCAAGTCTCATCCAGGCTGCATGCCATCTTCAAGAGGTTCCGACTCTCTAAAGCTGTGGTCACCCTTGAAATGGCATCCTCTACGCCTCAGGCGAGACTCTGTCGTCAATCTCGAGCCTTTTGAGACAAATCAATCACAAGTTGATGCACCTTTTTGGAAAAACAAATTAACTTCTGCCCAGTGGCTAGACAGCAGCCCAGCTGCTGCAGCAATGTCTTCCTCTGGCAGTTCAGCCTTTTCTGCCTGTGAGCTCACGAGATTAAACAAGCTTCGCTTTGGAACGCCTTGTGCAACATCAACCGCCGCTCTGACATCCTTCAATATATAGCTATAATTAAGTGCCGGCCGCATGCTGTTGGTGGCAAACAATGCCAAAATGACAAGAAACGGAAGAGCAAGAGTCAAACACGCAACACTGGAGAAGCAAAGCCGACAAACCGCAACGCTAAACCGGCTTTCAAAAGATAATTCCGGCTTTTAGAATCTTTCTATATCTTTCTGGTATTCTTTGAAGACCATCATTGCCGCTTTTTAGGATGGCTGAAAGAAGGAATTAGATAACACAAGCTCAAATACATAATGTGTCCCAATTGCTTTCGTTAGCTGCTAAGTTGTGTCAACAAGTATTTATTTGTCGGGTATGCTTCTAGTGTTTGATCATCCCACAATTCAATTCCCCTGTGTGCTTGGCCTTGGCAATGGCTGCCTGGAGCTTTGCCTTCCGCAGTGGCGGCTCTTGGGCGCCCACCAAGACACGCGAGGCAGCGGCAAAGAAAGCATTGCGTTGGAAGCGTTTGGCTTGGCTCCTCAGTCAGCTGATCAAAGAATCTCCGTGCGCCTTGATCATGGCTCTACTAGAGAGCTTGGCAGCATAGTCCACTGGGATTCCCTGCTCAATACCCAGCAGCACTCACTGTGGATAGAGTTTGAAACTGCTTACTACTGAGATGGTCAAAGCGGCTTAATGCTGAACAATGCCATGTTCTTCTTCTTGAGATCGTCCATCCAGCCTGTGTATTTTTGGACAGTGAACCCACTGCCCTAAACAAACAAAAAGCAAAACAACAATTTTTTGCACGACGCGTACCAAGTCAACCTGTGATTCATGTTCACCGGCCTCCTATGAGATCATCAGCCAGCTGCAACTCGTGGCACTCGTGAATGGCCTGTTCACTTGTATTTCTCCCACCAAACACGCGGATCCTTTAGAGGGGACCTGGGACTAACTGGGAACAAGAAGCTAGTAGAAACAATATATAGTTCCTAGTTGTATTGTTTTCCGAATTGGGCGGAGCCGTGGTGTTCTTAGCCGCTTATGAGCGTCACTCGCTCCTACGCTCCCTCACGATTTATTGCTAGTGAAAGCGGACTCATGTGCACAAACCAGAGCACGGGCCTCTCGTAGGGCCTCTTTGTCCTGGCGCTGTGCTGCTTGCCTGGCTATTGAATGCTTGCGCATCGGACAAACGGCAATAAACGTCCTCACTTGAGACAAAGAGTTGACAGAACATTATTGCCTTGTCATTCTTTCGCCTTCAGGTTGGAGAGCATCGCTCTTAACTTGGAGGCCATCGCTCTTAGGTTGGAGGCCGTCGCTCTTAGGTTGGAGGCCGTCGCTAGTACGTTGGGGGCCATCGCTCATCCTTCTTGCAAAGAGTTGACAACACATTATTGCCTTGTCATTCTTTCACCTTTAGGTTGGAGGCCATCGCTCAGGTTGGAGGCCCATCGCTGCCATCGCTAGTAGGTAGCAGGCCATCACTAGTAGGTTGGAGGCCATGGCTATTAGGTTAGAGGCCTTCGCTCTTAGGTTATTCATTCTTCTTGAGGCACAGAGTCGGCAACACATTTTTGCAGTTTCATTCTTTCTATTCGATGTTGAAAAAACTCTTGCATTGAAGGCCATCTCAGTCAGTCTCTATGATAGACTCTATGGTCTCCCACATCTCTCTTGCTATTCCTCCTCCTCCTCCGCCTCTTCTTCTTCTTCTTCTTCTTTCGTCTTCTTCGTCTGCTTCTTTTGCCTTCTTCTTCTCCTCATTTCTAGACCCAGACTTGTGCCAAGATTCTGCCCAGATTCTAGCACACGATTCGCAGAAGAGACTTGGTCCTAGGAAGCAATATGAAGCAATCAAATTCTGACTGACCAAAATATTACTGATCGGCATGGCACCAAACTCCATCGCATTCCATCGCCCTACAGCCAAGGGAGAACTGCCCCCCTCTGCCCCCTCTCTGCCAACGTTGTAAGGCCTCTATATGTGGTACTGTATCCTCCGTCCCTATGCTCGTCTCCTCCAAGTGATGTGCCTACGCTTGATTTCTTTCTTTTTTGGTTGTCGACCAGCATAACAAGAAATGGGAAACTTTCTGCCCAGGAGCTTTATTTGCATTTAACTCGTGCCACGCGTTTGAACAAGATTTGCAGGGAGGTTCGAAGCCCGAAGCGCCCTCAAAGACCTTCCCGATTTAGGCACCTCCTGTTGAAGAAGTTGGTCTGTCGCTTTTAGCAGAAATTGCGTGTCTTTGGGGAGTAGAGGGAAGGAACAAACTTCTTATCGTCAATTGATGCCAAGACTCCGCAAGACCATCCAAAGCATCCCAGCGGGCTAAGCCCCACAACTCTGCCTCCTTCATGACCGCTTGGCTTTCTGCTACACTCCAGTTGTTCCTCCTTGGATGCTGAGGGAAAGTCGAAAGGACAGTTTTAAAGTGATGCAGGCCTGGAATGCACGGCAACAACTTTGTAACCTTGGATTTATTATCATCTGGAAGGGGCTTGCCCACCTCCAACTGTGCGTTTGGGGTTGTCGGCAGCGTGCTTTTCACCTTGCATACCTGAAATGTCCTCCAACATGGGGGGGTAGAAGGTACGTGCTTGGTCAGCCAAGTATCGAGCGAATCTGCAAAATACGCTCTACAATACCTCAGCTGGAGCAGTCAGCCTAAACATGGTTTCTTCTGCTTCATCTTAAGTCTCAAGTTCATTTAATTTCTAGATCTTGCACTTCTGCTATCTTGTGCCCTGTGTGGACCATATCTACTCACCTCTCTAGATACTGCCGGCCTGGCAAAGCAGACACAATTCGCTTCTGGAGCTGCACCAAGTGCGGCCAATTCAAGGTCGTGAGCTTGGAGTGAACCAAGGAAATCCTCGATTCATCTGGTGGTGTCTCGGACGAGTCGCTAGTCGTGAAGTCGTGAGTCAATTTGTATTCTTCTTTAAGTCATACCAGTCCTCTGTAAGGATTTTAAAGGACTTTTCTCACCAATCTTCATGGTCTTTCAACTGCCTGTGATTTGCCAAGGTGCACGCATGACTTGTCATTGTGTGGGCCTGCGCCAGCACTCCAAGCTGTCTGGGACTGCCGAATGCAGTAAAAGTGACTGCCATGACTCATTGACTGATTGGTGCACAAGGCCATGCAGTACAACAATTTATGTCAACCATGCAGGACAGCGATCTTTCCCTTTCCCGAGCTGACTTCGGACCCGACCATCTGGTGCCACCACATAGGCTTCGAAAGCGCCCAGTCGCCGCGGCACCCGCTTTGACCGGTAGTGATGGCTCAAATGCCTGGGATCACTTAACGCGCCCTGAGCCCGACTAGATACGACTAGTAGTAGAAGTACTCGCAGAACCTGTGGATGATGAGTAGAAAAGAGCGGAGCGACTCGGATTTGACAAAATTGGACGTCCCAACAGTTTCACCTGTGTTGGAAACCTCGCGGAACTTCGAAGGGCAGGCGGCAGCTGTTCCACGGCCATGAATGAAAACTCCTTGGCCACCAACTCGCTCACCTCAGCTCCAAGCAATCAAAAGGACAGAAGAAAGCATAAGCTGACATCCCCGTCAGCGATACACCCACCCAAGTAATCAGAAAAGCACATGAATGGGTATTGGAAAAAGCGTTCATGTTGAATGTTCAATACCGCTATTCCACGTGCTCTTACCCTTCTTATATGCGTCATATAGGGCACGGAAGCTCATCCCTCACTACAAAAGTCATCCTCCTCAAGTATGTATATAGTGTACCAATATCATTTGGGCCATTCCTAGCTAGACCTGAACCTGCAAGCTTACAGAAACCTACAAGCAGCTCCCCGAAGAACAGGGGCCGAAGTGGTGAATTCAATTCAAACCCTTGTTCGATGGGTACCGGCCGCCGGCAATGGGATTTGCCATAACTCCAAGTATGACCGAGACTCCTGTCCAGCCAAACTTTGGTACTTTTCCACCTTGTGTTTGGTCCTCTGCAAGCGCAAGCGGCAAATGAATCTCTTGACATGTTTCTGTGAACTGCCAGGTGCATGCACATGGAGTTTGTACACAGTAGCTACAAGTAGAGTCACCCTATCCAACTGGAAGCATGCGAACCTGTCCCGCAGAGCACAATGTATCGATGATGAAAGACCAACACAAAGAAACAAAACAACATCAAGTCACATATAAACTAACCCTTCTACTGTATCTTCGCTGCACCATCAAGAATCGTCCGCTTGTGATCTTCGCAGTCATGGCAGGTTTCCAGAATGCAAACAAAGCGCCGGCCACCTGGAGCAGCACATTGGTTAGATTGAGCTTGAGAGAGGAGGAGCTGAACGAAAGGTAGCAAGCAAGGCCCAAAGGCACCCCAAAAAATCCAACCTTCCTGTGACCCGGTGCTTGGCGTGATGCGGTGCATCGGATACCGATGAGGTGCAGCAGGGGGGATTTGATCCAGGGGGGGCCCCGTATGATGAAGAACCTTCCTTACAGTACCAAACCCTAGGCAACTCACAAATTCCTGCTTCCAATACATTTTTCCTAGAGCAAAAGGAGAACTCAGGTAGCCTCAGGCTGGCTATCTTTGGCTAGATTGAACATGCAGTGCACTGACTATCTAAGATCTGCTCGTCCTGCTTTTGCTGCCCAAGTGCGAGCGACTGAGTCTCGCCAAATAGCTTGCAGGATGTCCACAAGGGATGCTGGCAGAGAACATGCTGGCGCAGCCAACTCCGTCCTCGAGAGACTGGGCCCCCTAACTGGGGCATGACCAAAACCTTTGGACCTAAGTTATCTATTTTGGAAAGCAATGCTCAATGGTGGTCACAAACCCTGCTTGGAAAAGGGGGCGGGTGCAGGTACGCCTCCCTGGGTACATGACTTGGTGTACGTGTTGATGGGTACATGTCGCCAGAGCGGGTACGCATTCATGGGTACATGTCGCCAGGGCAGGTACGCCTTTCTAGATTTTCTAGGTACGTGTTCACTGGTGCGTGCTCGAGCGTGTCCACAGAGGCTTGCGTGTATCCAGCAACCCGTTTTTTCATCTGTGCGATTCGCGATCCGGAATGTGCCGGCTTGTCTCCACAACAACGCACAGTGCATTGCTGCATGGACAAAAAAATGGAATCTTGTCGAGAGCGGCTTCTAGCCAATTACATGTTCTGATTCTGTTCAAGCTCGACTGGCTGCCAACTGCTTTGCAGTTGCTTGCAGGTTGTTCAATTCCTCATTCTCTGATTCAGTTTCCATATGAAGCGTCGCCAAGATTGCTGTCAAGATAGACACGACACAATTCAATGGAAACCTTGGCCGGGTGTCAGAGGATCAGGCTGAGGTCGCATTTCAAACACACATCACACATCATGTAATCATGAACCACAGCTTGCAGCTTGCAGCTTGCAAATCACTTACAATTATGCAAGCCACGCATTGCCAGCCAGATCTCCAATTTGGCCATCAGTGTGTTCCACACAATCACCTCCTTGAAGATCACCCAGCTGCAAACCCTGCAATGCCAGACACTCAACACCTAAAGTTGCAAGCAACAAGGTGGGAAGTGAGGCAACAAGGCAACAAGAATGAAAGCCCGCCCACACACAGTGAAACAGTATACTGTATCAGTATCATTATCATCCAAGGCGCCCAGCAGTAGACGCCTGTTGCTGAAGCTCCACAGTCGCGCATTTGGCATGATAGTCGGAACAACCTGAACCATTGATTCGCCTAGGCCTAGGCCTATAGCCTATAGCCTGTAGCCTATGGCCCAAAACCCAAGACTGCTTGACATGACACTATCAAAGTCAAACACTCAAAGAACAAGTAGCCTGAGATGCGTGAGTGCTCTGCGGTACACGCGATGCACTTTGGGACACATCAGCAAATGCTACGAGTTTCTCTTCCTCACCGGCGTTCCTGTATCGATCATTGAACAGCTCGATGAAGCAAAGCACCTCCCACCAAGGAGGGTGGTTCAGTATCAAGTACCATTCGCACAGGCAGTACACTACACAGTACACAGTCAGTCACACAAAAACATCAAAGCTGGCCTCTTTCTCTCTCGTTGATAGCGTCTGGAACCATGGACTGCTGCTGAGCTCTTCGCTGGGTTGCAGGGGCCACTGAACTCCATCTTAGATCGGCAAGTCCACAGGTCCACAGTCCACAAATACAAACGGTGAGGGCAGTGAACAGAACTATTTCAAGTTGCAGTTGCAGTTAGTTATCCCGGTATCCCGGAAAAAACACATCGCGCACTGCAAGCTAGTTTTATCAAAGCCACGCTGTTCAGCAAGCGATGTGTGCATATCCTTCCACTTCTCACCTCCTGCTTCCTTTTTTACCTTCCCCTCGCGTTCACGGTTTTCCCTTTCTACCATCATCCCGTTTCTACGGTCAAGCTCTGCCAAAACAAGTCGATGGTCATTGGGTAGCAAGAACTTGTCCCCAGACTCAGACAGAGTGAAGTTGGCCAAAGCTAAGCAGTAACATTTTGGCATTTGCGAATCATAGACTAGACTGGACTCATAGCATGGTGAATAAGGGGCAGACTACAGCCGGCGGATTGCAGTGTAGCTTGGATAGACGGCCAAGGATACCATCCATAAGATTCTTGGGTTCCTGTGCAAAGACATCTCTCAATCCTATGATGAAATATCTGCATCTCCGTTGTGGCAAACCAAACTCTGTTGCACGAAGTTTCACCGCATGGGAATAGTATCCAAGCTGGCTCAATCGGGCAGTCACCACATCCAGATTGGATTTTGACCTCAGCAGCATCGGCAATCTGCGCTGAACAAAACTGAAAGACTAAAACTGAAGAGAACTGCCTGAACAAGACAAAGGTGCTCCTTGTCATCATCCTTGTCCCAACCGCCCGCTGAATCAATACTATCCACGTTCTCGAGCAACAACACGGATGGTCGAGATGTAGATAAGATGTGGACCACACCCTTCCAAGTCAAATTGGAACTACAGTCCTTGATAGGCTAGGCCAGGCCAGGCTACGGAATAAATAGTAATAGAAAGTTAAACATCACAGCACACAGCACATTGAGAACGATATGCTGATCTCCTAATTTGTACACTGACCCCTTGCCAACAGCCAAGATTCCTTGTCTGCAGACAGCGCCTCCTTCAAGTTTGGGAAATTCGAATTCATCCGTGAAAAGGACCTCACGACTAGACTTGAGCAAGAACCATGGAGATTGTGACTGCGCACTGCAATCTGCACATGATGGAAATGCATACTTGCTAACAAAGCCGCTTGCAACTGAATCCTGACCCAAACAGAGATAATTTGTCAGCTGGGTCAACTGGATGAGGCAATGCCTAAGACTTGTGCAAAGGTAGAGAGCGTAAAGACAAGACATGCGTGGAAATGACACCTGCTGCAAAGTTACACAGTTTGCCCTGTGAACAATACAGAACCGCGAGTCATTGTCACTAAGCTTTGAAATATCAGCATACAGGCAAGTGTGATCTTTCTCCTGCAGCAGCATGTAGCCACTACTTAGACTGACATTCAACCACTATCAGCAAGTGTCCTCTGCAAAGATGATGTGGCGTTGCAGCCACTTCTGCTTGCTGGCAACAACTTCGCACAAGAAGCTGTTAGCAGCCTGGAGTGGAAACCAGATACCACAAATCACATGTCATTTACGATGATGTAGCAACTACTGCAAACAAGGAACTGTGAATTCAATGCCAATCCCTTTTGCGCTCAACGTCGAGTTCATTGCATCAACCACAGCTCTGGCGGCAAGCTCGAACATACCACTTCCACTACACGCAGAACCAACCATCACAGTCTTGGGTAAGCTGCTCATGTTGTCCACAAGGGGGCCGGCTCCAATTTGGTTGGCAATCCTTTCCAACTGCACCTCCAATGCAGCCGGCCAGATCAACATAAACAGAGTGTCAAAACACGGATACAATCAACTGAACTGAACAACCAGAAACATAACAGTACAGACAGACAATCACTACATAGTCAGTCATCAATATACAATATGTAATTCAATAAATACAGACAGATATATAATATTTTATAATATCATCCACATCATTTGTTTCCCAAGTAGCCGGCCTCCGCAAAGTCTTGAATGTTTTGCTTGCGCTGCTTGGGCTTGGGCTCAACCGGCACCTCTGGATCGTTCTCGAAGGCTTGCTCCTTTTCAGACTCACCTCCCTCACCCGATTCACATGGTTGATGCGGCTGCTCATGGTTGGGCGGCAAGTTGACATCATCCCTTGAAGCAAGCCATTGCGCAAAAAGACCCAGGCTTTTGCAAGGATCTATGCCCTGGCCCTCAGCTGGAAATTTCCAGTCAGTTGCAACACCAGAAGACTCCCTAGCTGCCATCTCAAATTCGGCCAGCAATGGATGGCTCAAGACTTGCTTGCGCAAGTCCTCAACTTCACTCTTCTCAAGACCATGGAGGATGGACTCGTGGGTCGCAGCCGAAGAACGCAACAAGGTTACCATGCCATCCAAGGTTGTCTTTGGTTCTGGTTCCT